GGAGATGGAATTTGTTAAAAAAAAAAAGAAAACTAAATAAATGACTGAAATAACTGCCAACAACTCCCATCACTACAGAGAAAGAAATTGCAAATAATCAACTACTGCCCAGCCGCCATGAAAGAACAGTTTTGATCTCTGTGTCAAATAATTGAGGATTTCTTTCTTTTCAAGTAGTTATAGAGAACAAGAAAAGCTGTGCTCCACATTTACCACACAACTTTGGAATCCGGTCAGAATCTGTCTTTAATTAATTAACTCAACAGGCCACCAACAAAGTACAACACAATGCACAATGTAGCTGCATTGTTGGAAACAGACTGACCCTAATTAGAGAACAGGAAGGGTCTGTTTGGTCCATTCATATATATATATATATATATATATATATATATAGAGAGAGAGAGAGAGAGAGAGAGAGAGAGAGAGAGAGAGAGAGAGAGAGAGAGAGAGAGAGAGATTTTTTTTTTTTTTTTTTTTTTTTTTGCAGGAGAGTTAAAAGCTTTAGCGTTAGATATATACATATATATGTACATGCATCCATGTGTCTGTAGTCCCGCTCCGTGACGGTAGGTTGCGTTTGTCCGCAGGCAGCCAGCAGATTGCATTGGCTGCTCGCTGGATGAGCGCTGCTGGTTCAATGTGGAATAATTACATGGAGCGAACAGCAGGAACACCGTGCGCACCCGTGAGGGAAAAAAAAAAAAAAAAAAAAACGAGGCTGTAGCCGCGCAAATTGCAAAACCATATAACCCCGCGGTTATTTATGGCTTCTGGCTCGGAGGATGATGAAGGGAACACGACGGGCGCTTCGTGGAGGCTCATAGGCCCGGCCTCGGAGCTTTCCAAGAAGCCCTGCCGTCTAATATACTCCCCTCTCGGCCGCGACAGTGATGTCTGCCTCTTTTATGTCAGGGGACGGTTTTTTGCCATGGACGCCCGCTGTGCTCACTCCGGTAAAAACAGATTTCATTTCTGCCTCGTTTGACGGAGAGCAGCGGTTTGCTGGATGTATGATGAATGCAGCCCATGTTGACATATGTGGCGATTGTTTCTTTTGCAAATTCAATATGCGAGACTAGAAGGATAGAAACAAATGGGGGGGAAGCATTCTGCCCCCTACCGTCTGGTTCTCAGAAATGATCTGTTGTCACCTTCACTTTTTCTCCAAAGAAGAATAATTTAGATAAGACACACTAATATTTTTATAAAAATGTTTTTTTGTTGTTATTTTGTTTTTGGCAATTTGGCAAAACTATAGCCTGACAGATAATCTGTCTCATGTTTTATGAGGAAATATGTCAGAAACATCCTCTGTTTGGAGCTCCAAACACGAGGAAGGTCTTAGCGCTGTCAATCAACGCTCGTAAGCGCTGCTCACACTCTCTTTCTTGCTCTCTGCTGCACCACAGCTGTGTCATCAACTTCAAACTCATCAAACAGAAGGAGCAGAGGGAGTGGAAGCATTGTTTTGTTTGTTTTTTTCTTTGTATGTTATTCTGAGTGTGCTTCTCAAAAAGTGTTTATTTTGTGGAAACCCGCACTTCGTGATCCACTTGTGTTTTTAACAAAAATTCTCCACCATAGTAACTTTAACTGTTTGCTGTGCCAACCTCAGGGGGTCCTCTGTGTGAGGGGGACATTGAGGAGGCTGATGGAGTCCTGCAGGTCTTCTGCCCCTGGCATGACTATGGCTATGATCTCAGAACTGGGAAGTCTGGGACATTATTACAGGTCAGTGATGCAATAAAAGCCTTATTAGTTGTGTCCTTATTCATTCCATGTGCTTCAATCTCCATATAAAATGATTATATGAGCAAATAATGTCTTATGTGCAAGTGAAAAGTATGAATTTGACACACATTGTGTAACAATAAAATATCATAGGGTACAATAAATGTTTTATTATTTTATTAATCCCAGCTTGGGAAATTTCTTCGTTGCAGCAGCAGACAAAAAAATAACCTAGGAATCAATGCATAAGATTTAATCCCTCCGTTTGCATAACTACATTTAATAAAAATGGCAGCAACACCAGTGCAAAGTAACTTTTTCAATAAATTGTGTCGAAATGTGTTTTTGCCCTGCTGTCCAATTTGGATAAAGCAAACTTTAGATAAGATGGCACATTGTTCTTTTGTCAGTATTGCTTGGTTTTTCACAGATGACATCAGTTGCACACATTAAGACATAATTGTTTTCCACTGCTGTTTGTCATTTTCGAGCACTTATGACTTTTCGTCTTGTGGTTCCACTTTCACAGCAACAAGTTTATGAAGTAAAGCTGGTGGACGGCGACGTGTACGTGAAGCACGCAAGTCATCTCTCTCTCGGGCCTTTCCCAGCAAATCAGAAAAACTGAGTTATCTCAGCGCAGCTGGTTCATCCTAATTTTAAGACTTTTTCCACAAGCACAAGTCATCTGAAAACATTCCAGAGCCTTATCTCTGTTGTTCTAAGAGTTGTTTTTGCTTTGCTGAGAACTCGGGCCTAAGGAGACCGTCTTGAAGAGGACACGACATCATGAAGTTGTTTTTCTTGTTGGTACACCAGGCAAAGTTCAGAGTTCAACACAAGCTGTTAAGATGAAGAGTTGTGAACTCTTATGTTTTTTCCAGTGGAGAAACAGCAAACACAACAAATACATTTCTTTGCAAAAGTCTTCATGTCTTGTTTGTCTAACTTCATTTATTTAATTAAGACTTTATCTGACAGAACAAGTTGTGAGGTGTAAGAAAAAAAAGAGGATTTGTTTTCAATATTATTTTTGTAAATAAAACTCTGAAACGTCTCCAGTGTGTTTGTATTGGTAAAATGGTGCCACCAATTGAAAACTAGACTGCAGAAGACTTTAAACACACTGAGAAAATGGTGATGGACGCATCACTTTTCAAATTCTAGGTGAGAATCTGTGGCAAGATTGGACAAAATGCCGCTCACCGTCACTGCATTCAATCTGACTAAGGCTCAAGCTGTTTTCCAAATACTGGTTAAAAATTTTTGTAGATGTGTAAACTTGTTAGAGATACACAGAAAAATACTTAGAATTTCAGTAGATCCACCTTTTGTCAAAACTGAGTGTATTGACAAAGAAGTACTTCATGCAAACGCTTTAAGTGCACTGTTTTTTTATAAATTAAAATATTTTGCCCTTTTCCTTTAATTGCAAAGTGTCACACTGTCTTGTGTGACATTGTTATTTTTTTTTGTTTGTTGGTTGGTTTTCAGAAAATCATACACCTCGTAATGTGACAAAATGTGACAAAGTTTAAATAGTTAGATTATCTTTTTTCTGCAAGGCACTGTGTGTAATTGAGACAAAAGTGTTTCTCATAATGAACAAAAATTCATTGTACAAGTTTTCAAAAGCAGCAAAAGTTAATTGAAAATGTTTTCTGTTTTAATGTCTTTGATTTGACAAATGATCGTGTTCCTCAGCTGAACATTGCCGTCAATACAGACTCCAGCTAAGCATTTCCAGTCATGTCAGATTTATTAAAGGTTTTTGCAATATTAGATAATTTTGATTGTAAATTATTGATTTATAATATTGTTAAATTTAAACTATTAATAAAGTATTAATCTGAATTCTTCTGGTGCACACCAGGGGGCGACACGTACACCTGAGTTTTTTTTTTTTTTTTTTTTTTTTTACAGTTGTGGTTTAAATTGTTTATTTCTTATTTTATCAATTATCTCATGAAAACTTCCCCAGATGTTTGTGTGACCTTTGCTGCTGCTTGGTTAGGTCAATCCGATATCAAACAAGCTGGTAATCTGTCAGTTCTTATAATTTCTTGTCAGGAACAGTTCACTTATTCAAACTACAAACAAAAGCCAAGGAGTTGCATCATGTTTAGCTAATTCCTTTTGTTAAAATCTAATCTATGTTATCCTTATAAGACATTGTGATGTTCTTTATATATGTTTAAAAAAAAACTGGCTTTCTGTGTGATTAAGTAGTAAGGAATTGAGCATAATCTTCTCCTTCAACACTTATGTAACATTATGTAAAGTGTCTAAAATCTCCACAATGGTCTCATTAAACCCAAAATTGTCTTCCTTTCATCTACAAACTTTACATGTGGTCTGAAACTGTTAGACTCACTGCTGAGTTGTGTGTGTACTAGAGCACATTTAAACACTTATTCTGCTCATCTCACAATGCAAACAGTCTTGTTTCTTGACAATTTGTGGCCCAACAAAAGAAACAATGAAAATGGTGCAACTACGCGCTGTCTAATTTGTGAGTTATATATATATATATATAAATTTTAATAGCTCACAAAATGGATATGATATATCCATTCCTGGATTTGTTACCGGCAAGCTTTTATTCTATTGACCCAGTATGATTTAAGAAGACCGGTTTGGTCAGACACAGCAGGGAGGTTCATGCCCTGAAATGCACCGTTGGCTCATAGAAACCGTTTTTTTTTTTTTTTTATTTATTATGTCTGTGCACACCGATGCCAACGTGTGTTCTTTATTCCTTAGCTGTGAGCGCCATCAGTCAGTATATTTTCTTTCAGCTCAATTTTCTGGCAAATGCAGAGCCCAGTCATAAAGGTGTCAGTGACAGCATGTCTCAACACTCTGGTTTTCCTCCCCACTGTGCTCCCTGTTGTGCAACTTTATGACAATAATTATTCTCCTAGCTAAAAATATCTGTTCTGTGCACCAGAGGTGTCAGCCTTCTGTGCTATATGTCATCACCTGGAGGGCAATGAGCTCCAGGGATGTCAGTATGGGTATGGAAGTCAAAGTAAACTTGGCTCACACTGATGCAGGAATGGTTTCTGCAGCTCCACATGTTGAACTCACATCCCACAGGTAGAAGGGTTGGAAAAGAGCAATGTGTTTTTTCATGTGTTCCATTTAATGAATTATTTATGTTATATATAAACATACAATAAATATCATAAAACACATGTTGAGCTCCATTTCCTAGGTGTGCATAGAAACACCCCCAAACCGGTGCTCTGTTGAGAGCTACAATGTTGAACGAATTGAATCATTTTATTTTGAAATTTGTAAGTATAAATGGGTTAGTGACACTTTACATAAACCAAAATCACACACTTAAATTTTAATAAAGAATATTTCTGGTACAGAGCTTTAAGTGACATGGAGCTTAGCTAAAAAACCAGAGGTGAGTGTGCACACCAAAGACTTGGCACTTTGCCTCCAGTATTTGAAACTGGATGATGTCACTCAGTCCCAGAGGAGGACTGAAGATGTTCTCTGTGTAACTAAAATATGAAACTGAAAGAGAAATGCACTTTTTGTTTTATTGTGCTTTGCATGCAATTCTCAGGGATGAATTGCTTCCTAGAGCACTTCATGTTTTCCCAGATTTATTTTATAGGTGTGGCTGAAGATAAACTGCAGTATTTTCTTCCCCAAGTATTAGCTCAGTATGTTTCAAACGCTCGGCACCTTTGAAAAGAGAATCCTTTGTGTTGGAAGGATGTTCATGTTTATCTCTGTCTGCATCTTTGAATATATTTGTGTCTGACCAATTCATGAGGGTTTTGCACATTATCTTATATTTATCACAAAAGAGATAATCTCTTCTAATACTACAACTACTCTTTTAAGGGGCAGAATTTGTCTCTTCACAGACTTCATGCAGATGCATAATGTTTCAATAGCTGTCCCTTTTATTTGCGATATCTTCCAAAAGTACTGACAAGCCTCTCAGCTTTTCACATTTTGCCAAAAACTTCATTATGTTTAATGAGTATGTCATGTTAGTGGACAGAATAAAGCAGTACATCATTTTAAAACTAAAGGCGCATGCTATATATTTTGATGTTTCACAAACAAAAATCAGAAAGGTGGAGCCCAGATATCCCTAAATGAACTGATAGCAACCACTTCCCTTCAACTGGTTCCTACTGTTTGTAACTGAACCAAAACTAATTTACATCTAGTGATGAATGCTTCCTTCAGACAAACATTAGTCCTTTTACACCTTTATTTACAGTTTTGTGTTCATAGTTTAATTGTAGATTCAATACAAGACACAATTTACATACTAAAATGTAGTTCAGAAATAAACAAAGCAGTCAGCATTATCATGCATCAATTATACAATACAGAGTCCTGTCAGGATTTCAGTGGTTTATTTATTTTTTCTTCTGTGCCATGCCCAGGGCCCTGTGACCAACACACATTTCGCCTCATTTACTGCAGAAAGGGCTCCTGGTTTATCGTCTAAATAAATTATGATCTCACTGAGACCACCTGTGCTATGCAAGGAGGAAATTAGCTGAATCTGCTCATACTTGCTGTTACGCTCTTGAGTCAAACTTTTAGGACTTCTGCTTTAAAACTTAAAGGAATACATAACCAACAGAGAATAAACATAGTCTGAGTATTCTGAAACTAAGTCATTTTCCTTTTCACTGATAATTCTCATGAGACTATGTATTTCCTTATTGGAAACCTGATTCTGTTATGTCTGGGTTGAACCAGAGGGTCTCATGAAACCGGACCCAACTAAAGAAAGCATTTCCTTTAAAAATAGATTATTTGCGTGTTCTGAGAAGTACACTTAGTCCCTTGTCAAATGCAACCCAGTTTTCTGTTCTGCATAAGTTGTGAACCTAATGAAGCAAATCCAGTACAATATGTCCCACTGGCCAAGTGGCTTTGCTGGGAAAACTATATCAAGAAGTTTGCTTTCACAGAAAAAGACAAAAAAGGTTATTGCCTAAACATGGCAGTTTGCCTTAGCAGAGGAAACACAGCATTAGCACCTGGAAATGCCAAAAGCATTGAATGATATTCCAAGCATATTTAAATGCCATAGGTAACGTAAATCTTCAGGTAATAACTGAGATATAAATGATGCCTCATATCTCCACCATCGCAATGCTCCCATTTCACTTTGATGGCTTTTTCATATTTTTTTCATACACTAGTGGCAGATCAAACACTTGAATTTTCTCTTCTGTTGTCAATGTTTTGTTAGAAGTTTGGAAATTGATCTCTCTTTTGATTTCTTTTTTGTTGGAACCAATTTTTCATAATTAGGATCTCCAGTTTGTTTTTAAGTTAAATTTGAAAATGAGATAAGAATCTGTCAAGGTAGAAAGACAATGTGAAAGCATTACATTTAAAAATAAAACGTAAAAATATATATATACCCTTCTCAATAAACAATAGGAAAAATTTTTTTCCTATTATTTGTTGATAACTTTAATAGCTTTCATCTTAATCTTTGGCTCCCTCCCTACATTGTCCACCAGACTGATTGCTTCAAATACATTATGCTACAACTGAGGTCCATGCTTGTCTAAGTTACTACTGTAGTTTTGAAAGTAGGTGGAGATGGACATTTGGTTAAATCACTGTCTAAAATTATTCCATGTTGGCATGTCATACCATACTTGTCTTTAGCTTATCTTCAGTGGAAAGAGTTTCCCAATTTGTGGGAAAAAGGCTCAATGTCTGTCAGAAAGAACCTTGAATTGGTTTCTTTCAGATGTTCAAAATATGAGTTGAATAGCAACTTATAAAATATTTTTGGTTTACCAGTAATTGTAAAAAAAAGTCGACTGCCGTGGCACAGTCTGACTCAACCAAAAATAACATATTTCTTTTAAAAGTTTAAGGATTTTTATTTTTTCCGTAGTACAACAGCCAAACATTGGGTGTCAAGTCCATCCCAAAAACTAGTGAATTGCTTAAAAAAATCTATTTTTCTTTTTAGTCAAAATGCTGCTAGCTGTACATGAGATATGTAAGCGCAACACACATGAGTTGGTTTTGCAAATTATCCAGTTAGTGTGAAGAGGCTCACTTCATTCATTTGAAACATTCTCACACCATTAAAGACAAGCATTGCAAATGTCCCTTAAACTTGTTTACATTCTGTCAAGACTTAAGGACCAGCTGGAGAACACAGTTGACTTTTTCCAGGATAGTTTCTTTTGACAAAGCAAATTCTCCTTTCAAAGCATTTTCAGGAAAAAAAAAACAGCTGCATTCTTCAGCTGCAACCACTTTTTCAAAATCAGGATCCTTTTAGTGACAGACAGTGAGACCAAAGACGACATTCCCCTTTCCAATAAGCGAACGAGATGATTGAATCCATCAGGAGATAATCTCACTTATATTTTCTTTTTTGAAGTCTAATGTTTGACATTTCCTTTATTTGCAGTACATCTGTTGAGCGGCCTCAACTGACCTGACACACCAGTGCATTAGAAGACTTTTCTCTTTTGACACATGGATTCAATTATCATCTTTGTTACTGGGTGAACCGAGCATCTGGATCTGGGAGATTGTTGTCTTTATCTGGAGGTCTTAACATCTTTCTGCAAGAAGGTTTGTGGTTAGCGAGAGTGGTGATAATGGCAAAGATGCCCCAGACTGTCACTGTGAGTGCCTTTCTGGAAACGAGGGCTATCTGAAAAGTGCTGCCAAATGTATCTCTAGGTTTACATGGTTGCAATTTAGATAAGACTCTTTATAGGCCATTTTCAAAGCATTTTATATTAATCTGTTGCATAGCATGACAACAAACAAGTGCTTAGTGTGCTGGTTAGCACTTGTGTGGTGTGATCATTAATCATAATATTCTGGCCCATAAAGTTGAGTTTGAGTCAGTTTGCAGAAAATTACTGTGTTTTGAAGTTTGCAAAAGTACAACCTTTGCACTAGACCTCAGGCCAGCCCTAGTTTCTAATTAACATTAAGCCTGTATTTACTTGTCGACTTCTTCCTGTTTCCCCAAGGGCAATGGTGCTCCCATTTCTATTTGGATGCAAATTAGTTCAGCTTGAATAGATTATCCCATGGGCTTACAAAAGGCTAGACTAATGATAAACAAGTTCTGGGCTTGTATTTCCATGTAATTTTAAGACTAATAATGACTTCAAGTTAAAAAAAAATATTTGTTAAAAAGCTTCCATGCCCAAAGCCTCCAAAAGTGTTTGTTTTGCACAGTATTCACTCACACCATGGCTAATGTGAATTTTGCTTCAGCAATGCAATGTGCTTCTTAAACAAAGAAATGGTCTACTGAGAATTGTGAGCCTTACCTATGAAATGAAACTCTGATGCAAAAAACCAAGAGATTCAGGTGGACAAAACAATGAACATATTGGCAAATTCAAAAAGACTAAGAGTAAAACATCCTTTATGTGAAATAAGTATAATGCAAGTTTTGCCAAGCTGTATAGACACACTTCTTGCTATTAAGCTAGCTATTTCAAAGCTAATATATCCTTCAAGAAGCTCCGTTGAAGAAATCCCACTCAGCTGACCAACAGGCCTGAGCTGCAGTTCAGAGCTTTATTTTTTATTTTTTTGTGAACCACGAATAATTGCTCTGTAACTATAAAACTATTTCATCGCTTGTTTATATGAATATTCCATATTTTTGTCCCTGATACTGATCACAGTCACATAGGAAAATGTATTTGTTGATACAAAGTTCCACTCTTATTACATCTTTAAATATAATGTCATTCATACAATGAAAAGTATTAATATCCCTGGCAGGTTTAGAGTTAAAGGTTCAATAATTTATTTCTGCCGACAAGTGAAATAGCCATATCTCAAAAAATAAAACACAACTAAAAGGTGGATCAGTTTAGAGAAAAGTTGGGCATCTGTTTATTAAGTAATAGTATGTTAACATTTATTTGAACCCTTTCTATTAACCTCTGGAAAAACTTGTATTTACAGAAGCATAGTCACATTTTTGACAGCGTTGATCTCCAGAACATTCATGTCTTGCTCGTAGTACTAAGATTATTTTAAAGCTGTGCGACCGCTGGCACATTTTAATTTGATTTGGTTTGTGGATTAGTTGGTTCACAACATTTTTCAATGTAGTTTAGTTATTCTAATTAAGAAAAAAGACAATGAATTACAATGAAAAACCTTTCATATTGAGTTTTTGCTGTTCTCAAACTGTTTGTTGACTTAAGAAAGCTGTAAGAAAAATACTTGGATTCAAAGCTGACAAAAACAAACCGAATAAACAAAATATTGTGCTTCATTTAATTGGTTTAATTGCCCAGTTATTTGATATGAGTTTCCTTAACTTTTAATCATTCTCTTGGAGTGGTTTCATTTACCTACTAACTTAACACAGTGTGCTGTAATTTAAAACATGGTGATTTTTTTCCAGTTTTGATGTTTCGTTGTCACTATCACACTTCAAACATTAGGATAGCTCAAAAACAGCTTGAATAGATTATCCCAACAAATCAAAGACCATCCAAAACCCATTTAAGTCTTTTACTGTAAGAGGAAAGAAATACAAATTCGTTGTTTAGATTATATTTAGTTTGTTTGTATGTTTATCTGGAATGTGCATAGGAAATGATTTCATACTTCAGCAATAATTTATTTTCCTCGCATAAATTTGCCTCAAATGACATCCATGTTTGTCTAAGTGACAGCTGTGGTCTGGCACATTTGTAGTAGGTGGGGACAAACATTTGGCTGAATTACCATTGGTGAAACGTTATTGAATATGTCTAAAATGATCCATCTTGGCCTGCCAAACCACACTGATTTGAACTGACCTTCTGTCGGTGGAAAGAGTTTACAAATTTGTGGAAAACAGGCCCAGAGTCTGTCAGCAAAGACCTTATGTTGGATCTTGAAAGTATGAGTTCATTGGCAGCTTACAGTTATAAAGCATTTTGGTTTACTAAAGTATTTATATTTGAAAGTTTGGTTTTAGATCAAGCATTGAAAGATGTCTGTGAAATAAAATCCCACATATACACCCCATAAAAAGTTCTTAGGACCACTGTTAATATTGCATATTCATTCATAAAATTAGAACACAGGCTAAAAATAAATACAAGGCACTGAGTTATGGAGAGTCAAGTGATATTTACCTTTTATAAGAGAAATGCAACAAAATTAATCAACCAAAACATTCAAGTTACTGTAAGACAAATTGTCTACACTAGATTTTGCCCGTATGTTTCAGTCTTTAGATTTGTTTTGTTTTTTTCTGTCAGGAAGCAAGTCATTCTTTTGATTAGACAGGCAACCGTTACTGTCTAGATGTAGGGCCTTCAAATTAGTCTTCACTAGTGTCCAAGGAATTAAAAAAAAAAAAAGAAGGCATTGACCATTTCAACATTACCATCATGGTAAACATAGATAACCTACTTCATAACACATCTATTGGCGCTGTTGTGCTCGCATGAATGCTCTCCTTCTGATTACAGAACTCGCTCGCCGACTTTGGGTCCTTCCCCGCTGCTCCGAAGGAAAAGCCACAACCTGGGTTGATGATCTCTGCACCTGCAGACCCTCCATTTCCCTCATGTCCCTTGCCATCTGAGACAATGTTTGACCCGGATTGGTCTGCAGACGCTGGAAGAGGCTTTCTCTGTTAATTTTTTTCTCTGGACAGCTAAAGGTCAGGGCCACCCCAAAGTCTGACTTCATCTCTCTTGAGAAACCATCGGAGGTGCCATCAAAGCAACGGCCAATGGCGATCTCTTTGGCAACTCTGGGATTCTGGTCTGTGACTGTGTAGATGCCATAGTTGTGTCCTAATGGATCAACGGGAGCTAACATGGTGAATGCATGTGATTCGTTGTTTTGAGCAACTGGTGGATGTTTAATGAGATACTCCTGTAGAAGGCCATTGGTACTAATCCTTCGACAGCTACTTTGTGGAATCAGCGATATGAGTGATCTGTCCACCTCTGCTTGATCAAACAACATGCCACTACATTTGAACTCAACACATGCAGCTGAGGTGTTAGCCTCTCGCATGTCACGGGTACTGCGAATGTCTCTAATGCCATAAAGTTTGCCCCTCGTCTCTGGATGTGTTCCTCCTAGATTCCTTGACCGGACCATCACTTCCTTCTGGCCGTGAATCTTGACTTTGATGAAGCATGCTCTAAACTCTTGGGGGTTAGGCCACCAAGAGAGGTAGTCTCCCGTCCAGGTCGTCAAGTCATTCTCCTCAAAAGGAACAACATTGTATTCATACTTGTCCTTTTCCACTCTGAAAAATCTGAAATGGTTTGCGTCCACAGGAGCATTTTCACAGGCTAATAAATTCTGATAAGGATATATTGGTCCGTTTGTCTCATCAAAATTGTTCTGGTTAGGCTTTGCCAAATTAATTCTGAATGCAGTTTTCTTTAGAGCTGGATCCTCATGATCAGAGCGCTGGTAGTCTAACTTATCTAGATAAGGTTGGGAAACTCCAATGATGTTTGGATTCATCTTAGGGGAAGACGGAGCTGCTTCCAGCTCCTCTCCACCTAGTATGGCTGTGACATAAGCAGTGTAAGCATCTGGTCTCATGGCATCACAAAAAGCAGGCAAACAAGCCCCATTGGGTCCAGTTAAGACGCTGTCAAACCGACCCCATGCCCTGGGATTAGATGAATAACCAGGTTTGGGCTCCAGGTTAATCAAACTGACAACAACTCCTTCCAATTGTTCAGCAGGAAGGAACTTTTCACTCATGTAGGCACGCACTTTAACATAACAGCGTCTGTTTTCAGGCACGTCTAAATTGAACAGCCTACGCTCTCTAATCTCCATGTTGCCTATTAGAAAGGTGCGCTCCTCACGCTTGCTTCGTCCATGACCACCAGTAGTTGTCGTGCTGTAGGAGAAATCACTCTCCTCCTCCCAGACACCAGTATCTGGGTTCAAAGACCACAGCTTCATTGTGGGAATGTGCTCTTGCATTTTAACATGCTGCGTGTCAAGGAGAACCTGGACTGCCCCCGTCCCAAGAACCTCCTTGCTGGTCTCATCTCTAAAGTCAACTGAAAACATGCCATAAGTCCTTAATGGCAGCATGTCACCCTCTTCATCCACAAAATTGAGGTCACCAGGGGCTGCTGCTGCTGTGGTAATGTTTCTTGGATCTATAAATGTGACGCTGGCTTTCACTGTCCCCTCATAGATTTCTCCGTTGTCTTTGTGGAAGGAGTGGGGTGGAATGACCAGTTGCCCTATTGGATCTTCCCCTTTAATTTCCCCAAGGTCTATAAAATTGGTCTCTCGTGGATTTATATCAACTGGTGTCTGCTTTCTCATCACTTTCACATTATGGTAGATGGAGCCACTTTTCTTGTCAAAAATGAACACCTTCGGAGTGTCAATGTACGTTTGAGTAGGATCAACAAAATTTACCACCAATCTTTGTGTATCTGGAGTAATTTGCAACGTAAACCCTCCCTGATATCCTGTTGTGCCTACTCTATCTTTACCAATGTAAATATGCCCAAATCGCAGAGGCTCATCATTGTCAGCTGCCACAACTCGGCCACGAACCAGCACGGTAGGTTGCACACACTTCTGACAACTGCACTGTTTCACCGCTCGTATGGGGAGTTTGTAGGTACCACAGTCAATGTTTCGACTCTCCATTTCCTGGACACCACAGCAGAATCCAGTTCCGTCTCTGCACCGCATGTCAAAGTCGAGGGATCCCGGGCATTTGTTGTGAGGGCATCGACCAGCATTGTAGTACTTGGAGAGAGTGCCAGGTTGAACGCAGTCCATTGGTAATCTGATGAGGTGCATTTCAGGAGTGGCATTGCATGCTGGTGATCCGTTAGCTGTGAATTAGATTAGATTCAGCATTAAGATGTGTGTCATAATATTGAGACGTAGTCCTCACAACTCAAATGTTATAGAGAAGAATGCGACAAATACAGTGGTTTTTTGAATATTTAACTTATTTAAGCTGAAGCAAATAATCAACAAATAACTTTTTTTTTAAATCTAAAATTCAAGGATTCATGTGGGCCTCAGGTGGTTTTTGAGGTTTTAGCAGTTTAGTTCACTTATGTTTTGAGCCAATGTTAAACATAGTTTATTGGTGTTTAAATTAACAATGTAAACACAAAAGCAGATGATTTATTCCAAGACTAGTACATGCACTTCTCCTCTGACGTGGAGATGTTATTCTTCTCACATGCAGGAATCTCCTGAGACAATAAACTTTGGGCTGCAGGGATTTGTTTGTTGCCTGAAGAAAATTGCTCTGTCTTCTGCCTTACCAAACAAGAACCATGGAGAATAGCCTCTATCAACAGTGCCGTAAAAATGTATTTGCTCCCTCTTAGATTTAACTGTATTTTTTTTTTTTATCACACTTGAATGTTTCTTGTCAAGGAGTAAATACAAAGTAGTTTTTCAAATTTCTTTTTTTCACTTTTCAAGGGAAAACTAAACCCTGCATGAGAAAACCATCCATTATCTTGTATAATCACAAATTAATTATGATTTACCACATTCTCTGATTAATTTCACAAATCCCACCAAGGCGTAGCTACTTTAAAGTGAATATTTAAGAATTCACTTTAACAGGACAGCATGAAGTCAAGTACAATATATGATAAATCAGGTCACAGACTAAAGTTCATGTGGGTCTCAGTTATGTAGTTGCAATAATGATATAAAGAAAATTAGAAAGTTCTAGAATTGAGTTGTAGAAATGCAAACATCAGAATCTAAAGCTTAGTTCTTGGATTGCTTTGCTAATAAAATAGTCCTTTATTAATCCCTCAGAGAGGAAATTATCTTGTTACAGCAGTAAAGTATCAAAATATACCCCACTGAGTATAACATGTATCTAAAACAATGTAAACAACTGCATAGAAATTAAGTACCTACAGATAAAATAAAATTTAAGTTAAATAGAAACCTGAAAAGGTGGAGATTTTTAAATAACTAATAAATGAATGAAGAATATGTTTATGTTAATGGTGGTATCATATTGGTGTAGCTCTGTTACATTAACTCTGTTACATTACATTGCTGATATGTCGTATTAGAGACCTTTGTTCATAATTTCTTTGGTTCAGGCATTGAATATCTGGGCAATTATTCCCTTTGCAATTGGACACTGTGCAGCTGGAAAGATTTTTTGCATTTTCTAAACTTCCAGACAGTTGCTATGGTGCATAGCTGTGGCTACAACATATTGTTTTTACAACTGAGAGCAGCTGATTAGCATCTCAAATAATACTCGAACTCGTAACCCAAATCCCAGACGAGTTGAAAAGGAGGCTTTGAGTGGGAAGCTAAATCCGTCTCTTCCAACAATCATAAAGGGAAAGGATCATATCCTCGACTCCAACGCTTCTTTACCCGGCTTTCTAACCATTCGGCCAGACAAATATTTAAAGAGAAGTGGCAAAACCAAAAGAGGTGGATTAATAGTGCTTGCCAACAACTGGCGGTATCATCCAGGACATTTCATTATGGAATATTATCTGCTGCCTGGAATCAGAACTATCACACAGCAACAGCCTTCTGGTGCAACGGTGATGACGGTGTTAGAAGTTCATCCCATATTCAGTGGTTTGCTGGTTTGACTTGCTGTTCCGTCCATCTCCTTTGTTGTGTTTTTGGCGAGACGCTTGGCCTGTCTTGCCTGCTAGTGTGTGGTAGTTTTGTTTCTCTCAAACTGCACCAGGACAGCTGTGGTTGCAAAGTAGTAGCTCGCCACCATCAGTGTGTGAAGAGGCTTTGGAGTCCTCTGGACTTGATGAATTGCTATACAAGTGCAGGCAATTTACCATTCAGTTAAAAGCCTCTTCAGATTTGTCGCTACTGGGGATCTTTTCTGCCCACAGCTTCACCATCCAACCACGATTTGAAGATACTTGGACGAAATGAGTTACAACAACATATAATTCACCATTGGAATAAATATTCTGAACTGAACTGAAAAACACCTTTGAATAACTCAAAAAGAGTCAAATTACAGTTCTGGACTGACTTGGTAAAATGTTCAGACTTATGTCTGATTGAGAAGGACAGTAAACAAGTTTCTCTGACTTGAAAATCCTTCAATGTGGCAAGTGTGAGCTAAAATTCCTCCACACCAGCGTAACACTTAATGCCCGTTGTTAGAAATGTTTGTTAGCAGGTATTGTCTTTAAGGGTAGCAGATACAGTTAGTAGGTCAAAAAAACTGGTTCAAGGGGTAATTTGTGTCTCATATACATTTTTGGGGGCTTTCTTAAATGAAATCCTCTTTTTAAAATCACGCTTCACCTTTATTTAGGTTGTCATTGTCTGGTATAAAAATTGCTTGACTGTATAAAATGTGAAACAAAAATTAAAAACAATTGTATAATATACAAGGGGGCAAATACTGTTTCACTGCACTGTAGTTCTCCCTCCTTAATGTGGATGAATTTTGTTGCTTAATTGAGAGAGGAGCATGTAGAGTTTAGTTCAAACAATAAAAAAAATCCATCATGAGAAGAACAAACAACTGTAAACAAAATAAAACCTAATCCCTTAGCTCAGTTAGATTTCCCTGCTATTTTTACTTTCTTTTGCTTTTTCCACTTTGTGTCAACCAACTCTCTCTTTCCTGTGGTTTTATGTGATCCTTCTTAATGCATGAACATGGCTCATGGATGACTTGAACGTAACCCAGGTCTGGCATTCCTCTCAAAGGGTATATTCAATTTTAGCAGTCAGATTATTTGTGGTTGTTTGGTTTCTGACAGTGGTTTAACTTGAGCCTGTGGAAAATTCAAGACGTCATTGTCAAATGCACCGGGATAAGAGCCATCCTGAGTCATAGCATCTCGCCATCATCGTGTCAAAATGTTTTCCTTTGGAGTTGATAAAGAGGAAATGCGGTGTACGAGAAATTGGCTTATTAATGCAAGAACAATGTCGCATATGTCATAAATCTGCGTTTTCTGCAAGCAAAAACAAATTGTTGCTTTTGGCGGAAAATGCTGTGTGTTGCTTTCTTGTGAAAATCAACACTGTTGGTCAGCTTTCACATAAAAAAAAAGCTGCATGAATTTATATTTGCATTTAGAAGAAAGACGTTTTTATCATGAAACAAGGTTTTATGTTTTATGTTTTCCTTAAGTCTGTACGTACCTATCACAGTAAGGTGAGCCGGGGACGACTTGATGCTGCCTGCAGCGTTGCTGGTTTTGCAGTAGTATTCCCCAGACTGCTGCAGCTTTAGGTCTCGTAGCACAAGGTCGTTTCCATACTTATACATGTTCTTATCCAGCAATGTCCCATTGTGGTACCTGGTTTATTTAGATAGAAATGTCAAGGAGGACACCGATTACTTTAGTTTATTTAGATTTTGACGTCTTAATAAAGCTCCTTAAGTCAGCACATAAAATTCTTCGTGGAGGTGAAGGCTACATGTTGTGTAAGTTTTTATTAATGATTCTTTATTGTTTTGTTTCAATCCAAATAAATTCAGTCCTGTTGTATATGACCATATCCAATGAAATGAAAATGTTAACCAAGCACATTCATTTGCAAATGTATTGTTCAACTGCGGTTAAATTTTAGCATCTTTATTTTTTAATGTTTCTTCTGGACCAGGAAGTGAAATCATTTGGGACTCAGTTGGAAGAGTGGACTTTTTGCAATCTGGAAGATGCAGGTTCAGGTCCAGCTTCTTCCTACCACATGTTGATGTAGCCTTTGGCAAGAAATTTAAACCTGATTTCTGTATCGATGTGTGAGTCAGATTGGATGAACATGATAACATAAAAACACTTTGAATGGTTGGTATGTTCAGAAAAGCTTGATGAATGTACCATAAAGTCAGACCATTTAACATTTAATTCTGTATTTTTAGTGTGCTCTAACCATTACATATGATCTTTCATGAAGAATGTCATTTTATTTTAGTTTTTAAAATCCCCTTTCAGTGTAATTTTACTTTTAAAAAGACACATTCCTCTCACCCCTAATATACCATTGTGTGTATTACCGCATAAAACTGCTGTCCTTCTCACCAGTAGTATTTGTCTGGAGCTGGTGATCCTGTAGCCGAGCAGCACAGCAGCGCCCTTCCTCCCTCGTAGCGCACTTTGTCCTCTGGGTGCTTCACAATGTACGGCTTTTCTGTGGAAGGTGTAAAAGCACACATCTTATACACCTGTTTTCTGTGCGTGGAGAGACAAAAGCTATAGAGCTCTTAAAACTCAGCACTTTGTTCTCTCATTGGTCTCTGGGCTTTTAAAAGCTTGTTGTTAAGGGAATCACAGTCTCAAAGCAGCACAGATCTAATATTATTGGTTTTCTTCACAACTATCTAGGTGGTCTTGGCTTGACGTTGTGGTATATTATTTGTCTGAAAGTCGGATTTGCCCAATAAAAACAGTCGGCATCAGGAAATGTTTTCTCATGACTATCCAACAGCACCTAATCAAATCTATCTACTCCATCTACTGGCACTCACCAGCTGACGTGAGGACAGCCCGTAGCCAGGAAATCCCTGTGGCGTTACTGGAAGTAGAGGCGACCACTGGCACAAACTTCTCTTTGTTGATGGTAACGGAGGTGGAGCCGGAGGAGCAGACTCCTGACATTGTGAACTGCCCTTTCACGTCCGTAAGAGTCCGGATCACTTTAGGGTGGCTGGTCAGAGCCACGCTGGCCCCTGCCACTGGGACTCCGGTCACAGTCTGGATGTCTCCGAACAGCATGTGGCCGTCACACACACAAACGCTGCAGTCCTCACTGGGATGGCCTTCGGAGCACTTCAGCTTGCATGTCACTGTTATAATAAACCCATTAAGACATACAGTACATAAAGTGTGAAAAATATGCTGAAGAATAGAAATGTGTTAAAAATGGTGGTTTGTTCCATAACAGCGCTTCTATGTCTTAAAGTCATTCTAATGAGAGAGGAATGCAGCAGAGTCCTTATTGCAGCTGCCACTGCATATTGCTGGTCAGCTGGCTGAAAGAAAGTTCTTTGACATTTTCTTATTTAAAAAAAAAAAAGCAAGTTTACTTCAATGGAAATTTCTTTAAAATGATAAAAAACAGAGACAGTCATGGCATGGAAGCTAATAGAGGACCATCCATCACTCTCATAAGGGCGATAAAAGTTTAAAACTATAACTAGAAATGCTTTGGTTACTCAATAACATAGTCAAAATAGTCAATTATGATTGTATATTGTCAACCTCTTTTGAGTGAAAATCTAAAATGTGATGATGTTGTGCATATTTGTCAATAACACATTAATATGGGTTTATAGTAATGAACTGTCAGTCCTGTCAAAATTCTTATTTTCAAAGCAACTTGGTTTGTATTTCATATGGTCAGGTGAACCTCAGCTTAACGACTTTATTAAAAATGAGCGGCTTTGTAGGCATCATGACAGCTTATAGTTTGGAGCTTGTTGCAACATGTGGGCCTGGAAATGGTTTGACTTTTTGGAGAAAGCCTGCAGTATTTTCTGGACTTGTTCACAGTGTCGATTGTTGTGCTGGACCTGAATGAAGTGCTGACATGTCAGTCACTACAACAAGGTCCCATAGCTTTAATAACTGCAGAGTCAGAGTGCTCTGATTAACAACTCTAAGTATAGTGTATATATATATATTTCTGCTGCTGTTGTTTTGTTCAATTTCTTGACTCCTGGCAGCACCAAACCCTTAAAAACAATGTTGTATTTGCTGTTGCGTTTTAGCAACAGGTTGGTAACTTAAACAAACCCAGAAGATGATTTGTTATCCTTCTCATTCTTGTTAAAAACATGCCCAGCTCCTATTATTCAAATATAATGTTTTAAGTCAAACAAATTGTCAGTTACATAAGGTTTCCAAAATACTTTTATGAGAAGTAAACTTGTTTGAAATGTGAATATTATATAATTAGCCTCAGGAAGGTTAGGATGATATGAAAACACTTTATTCTTTGTTCTGTCTGTTTCTTGCTTTTTCATGGACCATAATTGTGTCTAAACAAATAGGATTGATTGATTTGTCAATTTATATAAAAAGAAACTCAATTTTTATCTCAATTTCAGAGTTGAACTGTGTTATTTGACTTTAAAAACATAACAGAGAGATTTTGCTGGGGGTTTTTCTGTTTGAATTGATCTTTTAACATAAATTTGTGTAAAGACAACATCTAAAAAAAGTCTGAGCTTACCAGGACATCGACTTCTTCCACATTTCTGGACCTCAGCAGGCCGTCCTGGACATTGCACCATCTCTGAGGTTCTCACACAAGTTCTCCTCCTTGTCCTGCGACCTCCACCACAACTTACTGAACAACTCCCCCAGGGGCCCCAAGGACTCCACTTGGCTATAAGAAAAGGGCGATTAGAGGGATTTGTTGTACTTTATTTTCAGTAAATCTTTTCAGTCCTTTTGCCAGTCATTCATTGGTGTTTGCTGGCTGAAAACGCTTCACTTCAATCTGTTGTATCTTGAGCATTAAGCTGATTATAGCTGCAGATGAAGTACTAGTATTATAATTATGGACAATTACTTGAAGTAAACTGTGTCAGCTTTTTAGAAGCATACCACTCAATAGTCAACAGCATGTAAAAGCACTTTTAGATATCAAAAGGCGAAAGATGAAGGGAACAACAATATGCTGCATTGACAGTGTTAAGGTTTAACCTGCCTATGAATCGCACAGTCTCATTTCAGACTAAATCAATAACCCAAATCCAGTTTGGTATCTCTAAATTGCTCAGTAATTTTAGCCAGGTGTAAGGATAGTTCTCATCACAGTGGACTGACCCGCGCATGGTGGAGTGGAGCACTCCCTCCTCTCCGCATGGTGTCCTATACATGCTGGTACGAACAAAAGCGGCATAGGCTGAGCGCTCACACATTTCCTCTGCCGAACCTGGATTCCCACATCATTGCAAACCGTGGTGGAGCAGGGACCCCACTCGCTCCAGTCGGTCCAGTAGCTCTGCACTGCACACACAAGAGGTCTTAGGATTTCAAATCATTCACCAGTACTAGTGCACGACAGCATCACATGTTTAAGTGACAGCTTGTGCTGCAACGAGCCGCTCATGTCAGGACTACCTGGAGGACACTGAAAGCGAACATGGTAGTTGGAACAGATTCGACCGTACGGCTGTTCTTTGTTGATGCACCAGAAGCCCTTCTCCAAACTGGAGTGGACCACTTCACCAGTTTCTGCAGCTGCCACCCAGTCTGTGGTGCGGGCCTCCATGGCCGTGGGCCGAGCACAAACCCTCTCTCTGTAGTAGAAACGAATTGCTTCCAGGCGCTCGTAGTCTCCATTCCCACCAGGATGGTCGATGTTAAACCAAGACGTCCACTCAGTCACACCTGAGGGCACGCAGAAAAAAACTGATGGAAACCAACTGTTTGAAACGGCCAGAAAATTGTTAGTAGGAAATCACCCTCTACTCTAAAGAAGCAGGAATACTTCACACACAAAAGTGCATTCGTTTTTGATCAGTTTCTGGTTTTTTGTTGTTGTTGTAACAATGCCTTTTTAGCAATGAATCATAAACCGCTAGAAAGTATGTTCCCCTCTAGACATAAGAAAAATTGATATGAGGGTTGAGCAGCAAAGTCGAGTATGAGGTAAGGGCCGAGTGAAACTTGCCAGATCCTTTCTGCCAATTCTGTTCACGTTATTCAGCTAATGACTCTTATTTTGGGTTGTTCAGTGGATTGGATGGTAGGAGTTTGACAAAAGACACGGTTGCAGTATAACAATTTATTCGTGTCTCAAATAAGGGCCGGAGTTGATTATGAGAGAACAATAAACAACCACAACAGCCTGCTACTTTCTTCTCATACTGGTCAACAGCTTGGTCACCCGCTGCTGTAAGAAGGCATCCAGGCCTTTTCCCAGTGTTTGCTTCACATCACCCACTGTGTATGTGTTGTTCAGTCTGCCACAAACTGGGAATATCTAAGGTGACTCCACAAGTGATTGTGGAGTTGACATGAGGGCTTCATGCAGGCAACTCCATCCACTCTAGATTTGGGAGGTTTTTCATCAGCTCAACCCACAGAGACATTTTTTTTGTAAGTGTGACAACATTGAAGAAAAAATAATCAGGCTATTTAGTACAATAGCATTTACAACTATTTACAAGAAGAATTGCTACAAAAAATGTATAATACAACACAATTTTCCTGTCTTTTGTGGAAAATTTGTCTTGGGCTTGGCTTATAATGCCACATAACTCTATATGTAGCATATAGAGTTAAGCCTAAAGGTTTGTTCAAAGAAAATGAAAGGAATAAAACCAGTGGACTTCCTAATAAACATTGTTTAAATACATTATTCAATGCCATTAAAAAAGATCTTCCAAAAGAAAAAAAAAACAGGAATGTTGAAAAGAAGGAAAACTCCTTGTAGATGTTTAAAGATTTGTGGTCCTGAAACATGATAGTACATTGGGGATTAGTTAAATTTGAAATGAATAGTGAGAACATTTCTTGTCTTTTAGAGCCTTATGTTATTTCATCCAGGCATGAAGTGAATGTTTGACGCAAGTGGATTTCCTCCCAATTATTGTCATCTTCAATCAGTACCACGCAGGGAGGACTCCTAATAAAAGAGCAATTGTTCATTTCTTCTCATGCTCACTGGAGGTTTGTCGTCGGTAATAAGTCGTATTTGGTTAAGTGTTCTCTGGGCGTAGATTTTAAGCCATTGGCTGCTTATTTTGCAGGAAATTAGTACCATTAAAAATGTGCTGAGCTGATTTTTAGCCTTTTCTGCTTGCAACAGAGTCGTGAACGTCAAGCGAAGCATGTAAAACGCGTTTGGATTTGCAACAGGCCTCTGAAAAGTACAAGTAATTTCACAGTTTCACGTAAATTTTCACATTAGTGAAATGGGAAGGTCTGCTCCCAGATGTCGCATGCTATACCACTTGATAAAAATATCAAACCCATGAAAAGATTTTGAAATCAATTGCATAAATATCTTTACAGATCTCAAACAAGATGTTAGAGATAAAAAATTAACTTGAAAAATAATACCTGTTGTTTGTGAGTCCGTGAATGTATTGAAAACCAATCTTTTGCTCCTGTCTGATGGGGTCCTGGTCCTTAGTAATCCTGCACACAAAGTAAAAAAAAAAAAAGAATTTATATCAATACTCCAACACACCCCAAGGTGTCATAAAGTCCTATTGGTCCCTTGTGCATCAACAGCTGTAACCTCAATAAATGAACACTTTATTAGTTAAAATTTGTTGTTTTTTTCTGTATGTTTATTTTAAAAAATGATAGGACAACATTGCCGAAAGAAAAAGGATCATTTTGGATTCTTATGAAGAGTTTAAAATTCGATCAAACCAGTGCTCAGATATATATCAAACTGGAAATTGTTATGAAAATAAAAACTGTGTTGGTCAAATGTTTTATTTGTGGAAATATATTATTTCTTTGCTGCTTATTTTTCGTGTGACTAACAAACGTTTTGATGCCAAGTTATATATTTAGCTATTCATTAGCTTAGCTCGTTGCAAACCTATGCAAATTAGCTAACTCAGGCAACATTAACACATTTAATTTTTACGTTTATACATTTATATACACACATACCAGCAGCAACTATTACATGTCTCAGACTCATTATTTCATAACGTCTTGCTTCTATGCCCTGCTGGAGTAGTGTAATAAATAAGAACAACACATGAAATATGATGTTTCTGGCTCTTTCATTTATTAAATGGGACTCAGTGACATTTTCTTCCATGCCATAATGTGTAATGATTCATTTATTCTCCACCACTAATTTTTAATGCTGCAAAAGACGTCAATTGTTTGCTTGACATTTCTTTTTTGGGTTACATTTGGGCCGCTGAAAAAATAAATAAATAAATGTCACGGGGTGTGATGGAAACAAAAAGTTATTTATGCTGCCTCTCACCATATAGGTGTGTGTGTGTGTGTGTGTGTGTGTGTGTGTGTGTGTGTGTGTGTGTGTGTGTGTGTGTGTGTGTGTGTGTGTGTGTGTGCGTGTGTGTGTGGGGGTGTGTGTGTGTGTGTGTGGGTGGGTGGGGGTGTGTGTGTGTGTGTGTGTGTGTGTGTGTGTGTGTGTGTGTGTGTGTGTGTGTGTGTGTGTGTGTGTGTGTGTGTGTGTGTGGTAGGCACAAGCATTGCTGAGTTTATGAGCAGAGAATCCCAGCACATTAACTAGTATTGATCGATGTCCCTTCTGGTTTTATAGCAGCTCTTTATTGTTGTGCCAGCTCGTTTGGTTCAACCATTAAAACCTTTTAGGTACATTTCTGGATGTTAGGAATTGCAGAATGTACACTTTTCGGTTGGCCTGGGCAGCCAGCTGACCAACATTAGTGCTTCTTTTTTTTTTTTCTTAATTTAGCTTTTAAAAAACCATCGTGCGCTTTCCATATGGCTTTGTGTCTCTGAACTACTGGGGTGACTTGAGAACCACAATGAAATGCCTTCAGATTGATGTGTTCAGCAGCTGTGTCTGCTGCCTGCAGATTGAGTTCAGTGGGTGGAATCAAATACTTTCCCCATCATTCTTTTTCTGCAGTGATTTGTATGTCACTGTTGCATTCCTACACACATGCTGATGATCTGCATTATGTATTGGTCTTCAGATTTAACAAGTGCTTGCAGAATGCATGACACATTTTCTTCCCTCTGCGAAACTGTAGCTTAGAATACATAAACAGCTTTTCACGTAGCTTATTAGCTCGGAGGCCCGGACCTGCGGCCATTAATGATCCTTTCAACTCCGCAGGCAGACTCGTTTCCAAGAAATTATAAAGAAGCATTTCGGCTCGTTACATAACAGCGCTACTCCCCCTCACACCAACTCCAAGTTAATTTACGGCCAAGTTCTTGGCCCCTGATTATCGTTTCAAGATATTTTACATTGAAAACCAAACACCAAAACAAGTCTTCTGGTTTTACAAGGTGTCTGATAGTTTTAGGAAAGTTAAGAGAGGAAACACAGATTAGGCGCAGCAGAAAGGCAAATGTTGGAGTGCTGGCCTCACTTATGGCAGGTATAGAATCTGGCCCAGTGCACCGGGACCTTTGTGCTTTTGACTGACATATCAGCACTGACATATCAGCACTTTTTAAAGGCCATTGGCTTTTGCATGGCTACTGCTTCATGTGGCTGGTATGTGAGTGAATTAACCTCATCAAGAAGCAAGTAACACATGTTTTTTCAAACCCCAGGGAGAAATGTTACAATTTATGATTTCCTATTTGCTGCTTCAGGCTCACACATACTCGGGTGTCCTGTGCATATTTTGTGAGCTGTACATCTACGCGTGCACTGTCCGCAGACGGTTGAGATTTCACGGTCAAGCGGACTGGTTTCCGATATTTCTCGTGTCAAATTCCTTCATTTTCCACAATTCGACTTGGCTCAACACAGCGACTCTTCCTTACTCAGTGTCTGAGTTATTTCCCCCCAAGTACTTTTTCTTCTCTGAAAGTCCTTGTGTTCTGTGATTGATGAATCTTCCAAATTCCTATTGTAATTTCTTCAGCCAGACACCCCTTCAGAATTGGACTCCATTTCATCCACAAGATGGCACCGATTCTCAACTTTATCAGCTCGGCATCGCATACGCAACAGTTTGATGAAAACGGTGTTTCCTGCCAAGCTTTTTGCTACGTTACGCTCTCATACACACACTCATGGACATCCATGAAGTATGTCGGAGCCTTTAGAAAATGGCATCTTGAGGTGCCTCTCCGCTGAAGTATATCTTGTTTGTGCTTTTTCATTTGTGCTTTTAGAACCACTAGCATGGTTATTTCACAGTGGCATTTGGTGTGTTCACTTAAAGTACCTCAGGTGGCTTAAACATCCATAGTCGATCTTGGAACATCAACGAGGTAACAAGATACACCAATAGTGTAAAGTTGCTCAGGTTCCACTGGTGACAGAAGGCTAGCGACAAAACACCAGTTTTAGTAACTGTATTTCTTCTAAGTGTGGATTCATCTTGAGCCACAGAGTCTATTGTTGTTTTTAACCAACTATACATCATTGGGGTTTACAGCTTGGCTGGACTTAGACACATCTTCTATCTGTAATCACCTGTGACTTTGTGAAGATTTGCTTTCGTTCATTTTGTGAGAGGGAGTTTCCAGTGTTTGTATTATGTTGAAAGACAAAAGAAGAGGGGAAAAAAAACTCCCAAAGAGAGAAAATGAAATACTTTTTTTAAAATTACGCCCAGAATGTTTTCACTCGTATTGAGGGAGGTTTGTCTTTGCCAGATGTATGTTGGCAGACAGACCAGGCCTAAATAGGTGGTCTGGATTCTGTTTATGAAACTAAAAATCCCTACATGATGGAGAAGATTTAAAAAAATAACTTCTCTCCAACTGAAAAAAAAAAATCCTGCTTGGTGAATCTGTTTGTAAAAAAGTGTTTTATGTTTGACTTGACAGTGATTTGTCTGTGTGAGCCTGTGCATGCAATGCTCTGTTTAAGTTTTCATATGAGAGTTGTTCATTCACTTGCACAGAGAAAAGAGGAATTCCAGGGACTCAAACCCTCTCATGTGATAGAGAAAGGTCAAAGGACAAGGCTATCTAAAAGTAGAAGCATCAATAAGGTATGTTATATGGAAAGAGAGATAAAAATATACATGGCATAAATGAAGTTGGCATAGCACAATTAAAGAGGAAGGTAGAAATAGAAATACAGCTGAAACCGACTGAATTTCCAGCATTGTAGCACAGCTAGCATTTGCATTAAGTTAGAAAAGCAATAGTTTCAATCTCCTGAGTCTTATCGTCGTAACTAGACTGTTACCATGACCAACTAACATCCTGTTCACATCTCAGAAGGACATTGAAGAGTGACAATCCAACATTCCTACCAGAGAAACGGCACATCTGCATTTTTGAGCAATCGTTGACGTTTTTCCCATTAGAGACAAAGCGATGAGTTTTTAAATTCACTGCAAGTAATCACAAAAACAGATTATAAAAATACAGAAATTATATCAGAAGGCATAGTTATTCAACACCATGCTAACTCCCCAGCTGCCCATATCACGTCATATCAGGTCAGTCTCTGTCAATATTTCATATGGGAAAAGTAGAAGGCTGTTTGTGAAGCATCATCAGGCTGATGCTTGGGCCAGACCCAGGTTTGAACTTGCTGCTAATTCCTGTCTGGATGTGAGATCTGTTTTTTAAAAATGCCCAACTGCTTGAAATTCACATTTCCAATTCACATTTAACTGCGAATAAAGCGAGACAGCAACTGTCAATCTTACTGCTTGACTGGATACATTTTTTTAATTAGGTAAAATTAGGTATTTAGTGAACACCGTACTGCTTTTGCTGATTTGAAACAGTTGGGAGGTGTTTAAAAATTCAGCTGCTCACACTGTTCATGAGGTTCAAGTTTTAACCTCTGGTCAAAACAGTGAAATAGCTCAACCAAAGCAGCTTTAAATATGTTCTGGACGCATGTGTGTATATGGGAAAATGAAAATATTGAATTTAAAATGTGACACAGTTTGGGATTAATGTGAATTTATTTATATTTCTTTGATCCACTGACGTCCTTTTCTCAGTCATTTAATTCATCTGGCCAGACGGCTTTGTGTTTGGAACAGACAGTGGTCAGCATCTGGAGAAGTAGCCCTGGTGTCTGCCTGAAGTTATGTGGAGAGAAGAGAGGACTGGAAGATTCATGTGAAGGGGTGGTGGTTCCAGAGCACTCCTCTAATACGGTGGGCATTCAGCAACAGCTGCCACCTTTAAATAGAAAAAATGGGCCATAAATCTCCCAGGTTTAGGGTGGATGGAGAGAGTGACAGAGAACAAAGCCAGGATAATGTTTGATGGAGCAGGACGGAGGAATAAGTAAGGAAAGGTGGAGGCCAGAATATGATGGAGTGAGGGAAAAGAAGAGAAAAAAGGTGGGGAAAGTATTTGTGAGAAATACCTGAAGCAGAGACAGATTAGAAACAAAAGGAGAGCAGATGAAGACGAGGAGACAGATGGAGACGTTCTGCAAAGTCGTTGCTGCAGCAGCAGATTGAACGCACAGAACGGAGACATGAAACGGTCGGCAAGTTGGCCGCTTCAGCAAAGTTGGAAAACAGGAGGCTAATGCCATTTTGCCTGTGCTACTTCACGTCCCCTTTTATTCCATCTTCTCATTTAGGAAAGTACAAAGCCAGCAGGTGTAAAAAAAAAAAAAAAAAAAAAAAGGACCACTTGCTATGTGATCTTTGCACCTTGTTTCCAAGGTGACCGAGTTTATGTCTTTGGGGACGGCACTGCCTGCGCAGCATTCGAGAGTGAAATGAGGCCAAGACGCACCACCTTCTCACAAGATGTGGGGATGTACCGCTAAAGAACCGTGGCATAAAATGTAAAAGTTTATTATCCATTTTAGGGTCAGAGTGTTCTGCTCAGTCAAGATCAATGTGAACAACCATTTATAAATCTTCTTTCTCTGTCGGCTGGTCTTGTGATTTACTCATCAGTATATGGCACAAACCCCTCTGCCAGACATTTACGACTCAGAGGCCTCAAAGTCCCACAAGATGTGGAGACTATTATGGTCTATTCACACTCGATTGCCTTTATGAACTGCCAGTGCCTTTCACTTAAAAAAATAATAATAATGGAAAGCAGATGTAAGGTGGATTGAAAGTGACACTCGGGAAGAGCAGTGAGTTTTCAAAGCAACAGGAGGTGAAATTTAGGGGCGAGCACTTATGATGTTCCAAACATTAGGAAAAATTGAACGACAACAGGAAGTGATGTAAAGAGACGTTCAGACACGAGGTCACAACACAACAATTTTTCTCATCGACGTGAAGCCTTATCATGGTGGCAGCATTATCTGGTTGCTGCCACCATTTGACTAGGTCTGGTAACGTAAGCTCAAGCTGTTTTTATGAGACCTGGAAATGAAGGTGAGGGCTTCACGCTTGTAACTGTATGCTAGACTTTAATTTGGAGTAAGAGAGTAGGCAATTATTCTCAGTTTGAACTGCTGTCTTAACAGAGTCAGTTAATAAATACTTTGCTGAGCTGACTGACAGCAAAGGCATTGAATAAGATCCAACATTCGGCAGAAACAGACAAAGATACATGAAGACAGACAAGACATAAATAGTTTGTAATCATTGTGCGAAAAACTTTTGGTATCTTACAAGAACTTGGTCTCTGCTTCAGAGCTTCCTATTGTAACTATGTTTTGGATGTTTTCTTAAAATAAATTCGGACCACATCCGATCAACTCCAGTTTAAATCCGAAGTATTTTGACTAATCGTATCTGATCTGAATGATTTTTACACTGAACGGAGATTCTTCAAAATACAGTTTAAGATTTATGTAACCATTATTCTGTGCGATTTTCAAGGCTTTTTGGCATTAAAATATGACAATCATCAACACCACAAAAAGTTTCTTTGTCAAATCTGCACATTCTAAAGTGATTGCCTTATTACTTCCTTAAATCTTGTTTAATGAATCTCTAACTGTTTTTGTGAACCCAATATCGAGTTTTGTCCCATTTTGCAACCCCGAGTTGCAAAATAGGTAGGAGTCAAAAGATAAAGTTTGGTGAAGTTTTGTCTATTTTTCCACACAATTGTTTTGTTCTTTTTCAACATTCATGACTGCATGTCATATCCCACACGATCATACGCCTTATTATGGACAGGGTTGAAATTTTGGGATGGTAAGAAAAAAAGCATGGCGCAACAGCTGCTGGTTGGGTCACGTTTTGTAATGTTTACTGCTTGTCTCATAATTGGTAACTCTATTATCCTTTCATGCTGTGAAGTACTTTGAATTGCCTTGTTGCTGAAATGTGTCACACAGTAAAGCTTGACTTTTTTTGTTTGCTTTTTATTCCATTTTTACTGTCAGTTCAACCACAAGGAAAGTTTTACTGATCCCCTGGTTCATCCCCACATGTTGCTAATTGCACTGGGGTTGAAGCCAGCTTTTGTTTTCACACGAGCAATTAAGGGCAAATGAGGAGAGTAATGAATGTAACCACAGAGTTCAATACTGTCTTTCTGAAAGAATGTAAATAACTTTCACAGATTTCCCTGCAGATCTCCACAGCCATTACCTATCTAAATATCTAAACTGTCTTAATTGGATAATCTTTGCTCTTGATTTGTTTACGTGAACATGTTTGATGCTTTTCATTCTTGATGTGTAAGTTTACACGTTCGCAGAGTGTCCCCACAGCATTTCAATCTGCAACACCGACACACACACACACAAAGTTTATCTCATCGTCCTCCAGACATTTTGTCTGAAGCAGTCCTGCCCTGTCGTCCTCAAGGGAATGTCAGGGCGGAAAAACCTCTACAGTTGCTCTCAGTTGGTCGACACATGTGAGCCATGTTGTAAACCGGCTGTTGTTGTTTATTATGAGACATGACAAGGAGATGAAAAATGTTTAACCCAAAGTTTGTTTTTTTTTCTGCTGCCCAGCATTGTCTTCTTTCAAGTTTCTTCATCTTTTTAACTTTCAGTAATAAATACAAAAACGTTAAATCAGTCTTCTCTTACCTTGACCCAGTGCCACTGAGGCCAGAAAAGACAGCAGTAGTGGCAGCTTAGTTAATTCCAACATCGCGCTGATGGTGTGATCACGGAGTCGGCATGGACACAAGGTGAAGAAGAAGCAAACAGCTGGTTCTGCGGCACCCGGTCAGGGTAAGTGGGGTTCAGATCCTCAGGTGTGGGTGATGCTGCCGGTCCTGCAGAGTCTCGCCGTGTCTCCTCCTCATGTGGGTTGGAGACAGGAGCTTTTTAAAAGAAGGGGCATCAGGAGTGCACACCAATCCAGCCCCTCTCTCTTTACCATTGGTTAGTGGAATTTAACATCTGGGTCCCCCATATCATTGTCCAGAAAGAAAAAAAGAAACGACCAGGGCCTGCTCGGGGGAGAGAGGAGAAAGATGCACACAGTCAGTGGGCGTTTGAGTGGCTGGAGTCGCCAAAAACTAAGAGGTTGCTTTCCCCTTTGTTCAAATCCATATCTCATGTTTCTGCAGCTTAATTTAGGTATTTGCTCTTTTATTGCTTGTGGGTCGAGCCTCCTTTGCAACAGAGTTGTTATATTTGTCCTGCGAACAGGTGTGTGCACGTGTTTGTTTCCTTCTTTAAACTTCTATTCTGGTTTCCGTCTCCATCTTGTTAAACAGTGAAGCATTCTCCAAAATTAGAACATCCAAAAAAATAATAATAATCTATGCTTAATATGATCTCACCTTGCGTTAATTTTTTTATTTTAGTGCTTTTAAACGTACAAAAGGCTTCAATGCCTATCATTAAATATAACTATGGTCTACTTAAGGACACGTGAAGACTACATTTTCTTTCGCTGTCACTGTGGCTCGCTCTTACTGCCCCCATCTCCTCCATTCGCTCTCGCCACAGCCAGATGCTGCTGCCCCCTCCCACCCTCCTCTGGTTCAACTTCTGGTTCAGTTTTGTAACTTTTTAACAGTTGCTGATTGCGCAGCGATGCACTGCCAGAGAGTGGAAGTGTCGTCATATGGCATGCCATTCAGGAAAAAGTCCTGAGAGCACAGACATGAGACGTGCTTATGAGGTGCAATGTACTTGGGCTCGTTTTAAACGTGTATTTGCTCGAGAAAGTGGTGGAAATTAAGAATACTAATTTAACTCAGCTCTTTTATAAATCCCTCTTGGCTTGACATTAAAACCGGGTTAAGCAGCAACAGCTGAAGGAATGCTTCCCTTTGGTTTTAGCTTGATAAAACCCAAAGAAAACTGTTCAGTTGAAAGTAGAAATGCATAATGATGCTAACCGTTGAAAACTTTATTGCTAAATGAATCCCAGATGGGAAGCTGACTTGATTGAGGCTATTGTGCAGATTGTTTAAGACGGTTCTCAGACCAATGTAAGAATACCAATGTTTCATACACAGTTATTATTTGCAATGAGTAGAGACTTTAATAAATTCAATATTTTTCACTCAACAATGGTAAAGTTGGCTTTATTGAGTAAATTTCTTACTTTGAGAAAATAGGGAACATGCTATTGTGTACGTTTACTTAATTACCTTAATGAGTATCTTCCTATCTATGTGTGCAAAATATTGATAGAAACACATAAAGTAGGATTAGAAATATAAATAAACACTTGATTTCAAAAGCTGTCACTTTGAAATATGTGGCAGCCATATTACATTTTGAAATCCGTGTTAATGAGCTGACACGCCCACTTGGATTTTCGGCTTCCGGGGAAATTCATGTTTGATTTTTTTTCATGAAAAAAAAGGAAAATTTTGAGTTCTGTGTAAAGCTGTAGAGCACATCTACAATGCTTTAACTAAATATGCACTATCAGCTATTTTCCAAAAAGCAGAAGGGTAATGATAACACAGTGTTGAGTCCAACAAATATACATTCTGGTTAGCGCCTTTGAATGTTTTATTTTTTATCAAACACTAGGGTTCCTGTTCTTAACTGCAAAAAGTTAAGAACAGCAACCAAAATCACATCAATGCTTATGTACAGTAGCCAAATTTAACAGACTGTCAAATGAAGTGAATACTCTTGATCGATAATGACAAAACAATGCCCTGCGTGGAAGCTTTGAATCTTTCCGTGACAGTGAATGGCACTTGGACGTGTGCCGCTCTCCTAAGCGCTGCAACAGACGGAGTTCCCCTTGTGGCAATGTTGTTCCTTTGAAAACTGTTTCCGTGACACTTTGGAGTTTTCCTTTTAGTCCCTCCAAAACACCCTTTCACAGATTTACTCAACATTAATCCTTATACATAACAAAATGTTTGCAACTGGACCAAATCAGCTGACCAAATAACAGTCAAATACCTTGCCATGCACCTTTTTATGGCTTATTCAATTCATTATGTTGAGGTTAAATCTCTCAGTCGAGAGACAAAAGCTACAAATTATTCATTCTCTGAATTAATCAAGAATTAAAAAGACTTTTTCGTAAGCAAGATGGTTGTTTCTAATTGGACTGACGACAATAAGAAATTAAAATATGTTTTCATTTTGAAAATAAAAATAGAATGTGTCTTTGCATGCATTATATTAAAGAATACCATAAAATTACTTAAATCCTTCTCAATAATCACTAAAAAAAGGTTTTCATCGTCACAGCAACCAAGCCCTCCTTGCTGATTGACTTTTTGACTGTTTTGATTTTGAAATACTACAATACATTAAGATTTAGGCAATAAGCTCGGTCTTTGACCAGTGAAATTTCTGACACAAATAAGACTTTGAATTAGCTCCTCCTTCAGCCACCCCATAGCCAATGAAAATGCAGGAAATCATCTAAATCCTGGCACAGGATTAACTTTCCATTGCAGTATTTGAAATAGTTTCTGCAGCAAGCAAGGGTTGCAGGTTACTGCACCTTGTATCAGAATGTAACCCCCATAATTGTGTGTAATATTATTGTTAATACTATTCTATTTTGTTTCTATTGGATTTTGTCTCGCAATTTAACGCACCAGAAAATTGGCCTCTATTTTAATTTTGACTTTTCTTTTGCTACCAGGAACCGCCAGTAGGCGGCTTGTGAGTTTACACGCTGGTTTAGACACCAGAGAAAATATAGGCGTAGAAGAAGAAACCGCAGCTGGCTACACCACTAAAAATTCATTTCTGCAACCTGAAATGAAGCCAATGCTAAATGACGTTGTTTTTTTACTTTTTTTTTGTGAGAAATTGGGTTTATTGATCCTGGATTCTTTTGGACTTTAGTAGTAAATTAAGTTATTTTAAATTTATATGCAGGTTGTTGTTGTTTTTTTGTTTTGTTTTTTAGAACCACATCGGATCATTGTCCAGCTGCACATCACCGCAGGCCTGGACTGAATGTGCTGAGCTCCAGGTTTCAACCCAAGACCTGGGACTGCTGGATCCACTGCCTGCTTTGCACTGGATTAAGATAAGATTTGGGATCCAAAGAAACACATGGCCATTGAATTTGGCAAAGACTTGACTGACTGACTTAAATTTCCAATACTGAACTAAAGAAAGGAACAGAACAATAAGAAATCTGGACTAAAAGAAATCACACTACCTGATGTTAAATGGACGGGCACTTTCTGTTGAAAAAAAGTGTACAATAATATTTTATTCTATTATTAAATATTAAACAGTCTGTTCAGGGTTTTTCTTTTTTTGACAATATGGTTGTTTGTGCTTATTCTCCTTTTTGAATTTAGCAAGAAGACTTAATTCTAACTACAACATTTGAAATCAAAATTTCTCAACTTATCTGTTTGTGATTTACAAAAAGCAGGAGAAAATGTCTTCAAGGTGTATGGAGGCGACATGACAAGTGCTTGTGGTGCCCCCAAGTGACCGTCTGACGCCACCCTGGGCATCTACCCATATGTCCTATATCCAAAACCACCATTCACAGCCTGTTCCTAAACATTGGAAAACAGCTGCATCAGTTACATTTGACTGTATAAATTTATATCAATCAAGGACTCCGGTGCTTATGACTCACCCGCCCTGGTGATGAGCACCACTGACACACTAACGACAGACCCGTTGTTGCCTGAGAAAGTTTTGGACCGACATTAAAGACAGTTCAGAGATATTTCCACAGTCATTTCCCAATTGATTTGGACAGTGCAGAGTGAACAACATTTAAACATTCCTTTTCACTGACTGCCTACACCCACTCACACATGTGCATACTCACCAGGCATTAGTGCATTAGTATGCTGAAGAAGCTCCTAAGGTTGTATAAATACACATTACCTCAGCCGTAAACAGCACAGTAACCTCCGTCTTAAGTCATTCTCACCGAAAGCTGCAGCGCGAGCCTCCACGCGGACAGATCTTCTTCTTGGGCTGATTATAGGCCGATCTCACCTGTTACAGCTTATATTAACAAACCAAACCCAGTTGGGAGCAGGCAAGCAGAGCAACCATATGAGTTCTTTTAAAGAAGCCCGACTTTAATTGTTGCAATATGCTTCTGTTTCAAACTCAATGAATCAGTGGCCATTATTCAAACGCCTGAATGCACATTACTTCAATATCTGATTACTTCAGTGCTTGTGTTACTCTAGTCAGGTCCCCACATGGGGATGGGAGAGCAACCTAATTGAAGACGTACTGTGCCTCGCGCTTGGAATGGTTTTACATTTTGTTACATCAGAGCCACAAACTTCAACATCTGCTATTGGGATTTTTATGACAGATCTACACAAAGTTGTTCTAAGTGCTTAGTGATGGAAAAAAAACATTCATGGTTTCCAAAGTTGTACAAAAATATAAGTCCATTTTACTCTTTAATCCTGAATATGTTTTAATTAGAGTAAATACAACTGTGTTCCTCCACTTCAAAGTTGTGTGGTTTACACAACTCTGTTGGTCTTTCGTGAAAACCAAAGATAAATAAATCTTGTAGTATGTCAGCAAATGTACTGAAAATGTACCAGAGCTTCCAAATATTGTGTTGTTTAGAGTCAATCAATATTGCCATCACTCATGCCTGTTTATAGAAGCAGCTTTGAAAAAAAAAAAAAAAACAGAGTACATTTTGAATTATTATCATTAGTGAAAAAAGTTAAAAACACCAGTCACGTTCCGCCTCCTGAAATTGGTCAAACTTTTCTTTTCTTTTTTTTTTTTTTTATTGGTCAACAAGAAATATCTGAACGTTTTGTAAAAGCAAATGAAGGTAGTGGCAGGTTCAAAAATGACCAAACAATCAAAAGAACACAAATATATATAGT